AAATAAATAGTTATAAGCGTTTTTTGATGAACGAATTTTTTAGTTAATTTTTGTGCAATGGATTTGCAGAAAGAGTTCTTTCTAATTAATTGATTGTTATCTTTGCAAAAAAAAAAGAAACAAAAAGAGAATTTGTAAATTATGAAAATATATTTTTTTGTACTTAAAAAGAAAAATATGCCTATTAAATATATTTTAATATAGCTAATTCTTCTTATAATTATACTTATGAAAGAAAAGAAGAGCACTGGTTTGATACCAGAAGACTAGCAGAAAATTATATCTCAGTCAATAAATCAATGCCAAAAAGAATCTATGACTATATTGCAAAAGTAATAACTGACTTAAGAAAGCTAAAATTTCTAAAAGAAAAACAAGAAAATGATAAAATATCTGATCCTAAAATACCTCTATTATACAGAGATAATGAGAAAAGAGATTTTAACCTGACTATACATAATAGTCTACAGACTAAAACAAAAACATATCAAGAATATTGTCAAGAAATGCAAGATAAAACAAATAGACAAAAAATTCTTTGTAAACAATGTTTATTGGTAATAAACCTAAATAATAAAAGTATCTTTATTAATATAGCAAACCAGACGAAAGTATTTAACCTAACACAATATTGTCAAAAATATACAAAGAATTCTTTAGAATCAGAAGAAGATCTAGCAAGAGAAATTTGTTAAGAATATTATACTAAAGAAAAAGAGAAAGCTAAAGAAGCACTTCCAAAAGATTACTTCTTTAATGAACTAATAACAACTAAACAAGAGATATTAAATAAATACTTTATAACTATCCTTTATGATTTCAGCAAATGGAATAAACACTCTCCAAATTGAAAGTAGAAAATCAACTACTTTGACAACATGCAGATCGAGAACATTTTATAGGATTAATAAAATATTAAGAATTAAGAAGAATGTTCTAATGAATAGTAAGAGTAATCGATGAATTAGTTGACTTAATTAATGAAACTATTAGTCAAGATCAACATTTATATTCATTTGTAGAATATAAAGAGAAGCACACTCAGTAATTAAAAGAGCCTATCAAAAAATAAAAAAATTACAAGAAGCAAGACTTTCAACTGAACAAAAAGCATTTGAAGAAGCAATGCAAAGAGGATGATCACAAATAAAAAGATTACTAAGAATTATAGTAACAACTGTAATTGAAAATAATAACAATATAAAAGTAGTAGAAATTTTATAAGAAGAATTTCAGAGAAAGATTTCAAGAAGGAACTCTGTACTACTACTATTCCTAAGAATTAAAGAAGAATTATTTAGAAGAAGATAACTGTACTACAAAAATAGTACCAATATTATTATATAATATTATTTATTAACCATATATAGTTTATCAAATATTATTAGTATTAAATTAGTCAAATTATTATTTATTAATGTAAACAAAAATGTTACAAGCATGTAAAAGAGAATTAATAATTAAATATTTATATTATGCAGGCTTGTAATTCATAATAAGTCAGCATATAACAAATGAGTAAAATTTATTTGATTAATAAATCCTTAAAAGAATAGTATGTGAAAGCACTATGCGATGGATAGAGCATACTAGCATTAAAACATCCAAAGATAGTGCAATGAAAAGATGCTTAAAGTAGGTGCACAAATAATAACATTGATAAAACATCTGAGATAAATGCACAAGATTATTACTTGAAAAAGGTATACTAAATTATTAAGTGTCATTAGGGTCATGATACAAAGAATTAACAAAGAATATTAGTATTACATTAACAGAGAATTAAGATGCATACAAATATTTACAAATATTAATTAGGATAACAATAGACATCATTGAAAAATAGTATCAAAAAAATATCAAATTAGATTTTCATATAGCAGAAAATGTCTATTTAAAGACAAAGAAATGACCATGAAGCAACAGAGATTAACAGCAATAGATAATTAAAATATTACAAAAGAATCATAACAAAATATCTTATTATGAAAAGATAGTAACAAGTTTAGAACTAATATTAAAACTGGAAGAAACTGAACAACATCAATCTTATCAAAAAATACTTCAAATATTAATTGAAGAAGAATCAACTTCACAAGAGTTAATAAAAGCAATTAAAGAAATACAACAAAGTTCTAAAGAAAGATTTGAGTAAACCTTGGAATTGGCAAAGAAAATCATACTCAAGAAAGCAGAAATATACAAAGAATCTGCAAAAAAAATTGATAAATCATTTGCAAACACTCAGTAAAGAAGAAACTGATAAACAACTAAAATTTACAGAAATAGTAAAAGGAACTACAAGAAAGCAAGATATTACAAAGATATTGCATTCAGTTTATAATCAATTCTACAAGAAGGAAAAGAAAATTAACAACAGTCATATCAAGACTTAATTGATAAAATATCTGAAATAGATAATCCAAGAAAAAAGAACAAGATATATTTTGTGATAGAAATAAAAGAAAGTTCTGAAAATAAAAAAGAACAAATTATAGAATTAGTAAAATACTTTTTTCATCAAGCATCAAAAGTAGATAACAAAGCAATAAAAGAAATTAATAAACTCTTTGGAAGAAATTAATAAACTCTACCAAGAAATCATTTAAAGAATTAATTGATAAACCAAAAAAAACAGTTTTAAACTAATTAAAAGAAAAAGAATCCTTTGAAGAAAGTATTACATTTGATAGAAATCACTTAGTAGCTAAAGAACATACCTGGAGAGAGTGAAATATAATATATATTTGAAACTTAATTAACAAAAAGAAATTAATTAATAAAATAACTAAAAAACTCAAGTGGACTATAGGATATCAAAATACCACAGATCAAATAGCAAAACAAGTCTCAAAAGCAAAAACATATCATGATTGGTCAAAATTAATTGAAAAAAAATTAATTGATAATTATGATTATATTCTAAAAGAATATAAGAATAGAAGAATATATTATTATTAACTAATAAGTCTCATACCAACACTAGTAAAAATATATAATCCAGAAGAAGTCAATAAACAAAGCTTATAAATATTGCTTAATATAACAAAGAAATTAGATAAGAAGTCAAGAACTAAAATTCTATAATAATTGTATAATCATAGAAAGAATCTGTAAAGTAGAACTAAAAGAAAGACAACCAAGAAAAGAAGAAAAACTTCTAAGAAAAAGATCAAAACCAATATATAAAAACTGTAAAATCTGTAAAATATTACAAGCAGTAAATTGAGTAGACAAAATTTGTAGAAACTGTAAAATAGCAATTAATAGAAAAAAAGTTAAAAGAAGAAATTAGGAATTTCTTGAATCAGTAAGATTTTAACAAAAAACAATTCAAAGCTATAAACATTGTCTAGAAAGATATAAAAAGTGTATAAAAAAAACAGAAAACTAAAATTTTAACTTAGATGCAATTGCAATATAAAAGTTGCAACAATTGTGCAAGAAGACACCTAAAGTGTTTAAGAAAAAATTCAGAACAAATTTGTAGAAACTGTATTTGAAGAAATGTGAACTGCAAAACTATTTCAAAAAAAAGAAAAAAAGGAAAATAGAGAAAAACAAATCTTAGAAAGAAATAAAAAACCCAAAGAAAGAAGATTTAAAAAGTGTAAATTGTATAAAAAAACTACAATTCTTAGACTATATAAAAATATGTAAAAAGTGTAGAGTAAAGAAAGTTCAAGAAATTTTAGAAGAAAAATTACAAGAAAGATTCCTTGAAAAAATCTTAAATCTTGAATAATAATGAAAAGTTGTCAAATTTGTATAATACTCAAAAGAAAGTGTAAAAAATGCTATAGTACAAAAAGTGCATAAACTGTGCAGAAGACAGAATAATCTGTATACTAGTAGAAAAATAAGATTATACATTTTTAAGAAAAAGCTGTAATAACTGTTATATTAGAAAAAAGAAGTGTCAGAAAAATTAATAGACAAAAAGTATAATTATTACAAAAATGAAAGAAAAGATTGTATTTACAATATCAAAACAAAGAATAAACAATATTATCATATAATAAAAAAAAAATTTGAAATTAATAGTAGTATACTGGAATATACTATTAGGAATAAAACAAGCAATCAATAATTATTAATTTCAAATAATTACAGAAAAAAGCTTAAAAAAAAAAAGCTAAACCAATATCTAACAAACTTACCAATAGGAATACTAAAAGGATTAGTCTGTAATCTCTTCTATATAACATTAAAAAGAGAATTAAAAAAATTAATAAAAGTAGTTCAAGAAATAGATAAACAAACAGAACCAAGTAAATTAATATCAGAAGAAACATCAAAAATAGATGAACAGACCAATTGAGTTCCAAGAAACAATTAGAACAATACAAGCAATAGCTGAACTTCAAACAGCAGTAGAAAAAATAGCACAATACAGTATTAAGAATAGATGATATAAGATTAAACATTAGATTAGGAAGAATAACAACATTAGATAATTTGAATAGTCAATAACAGAATAAGAGGAATGATTAAAAGAAATTATTATTAAAACCTATGAAGATATTGAAGAATAATAGAAAGATAAATTAAAACAATTATTAAAAGAATTATATCTAATAATAAAAAAGAATTAATCTTTGATAGTCTGACAAAAGAACTAGTTGAAGTATTAACAAAAATAAAAAAAACAATTCAGCAAATACATCAAGTAAGAATATGATTACTAGAAGAAAATTTACTAAAGATAAGTCAGAAGAAATCTAGAATATCTAACTTAACTGTTAAGATACAAGAAAAAAATCAAAAACAAATAGATAAAGAAAGTGTAGAAACATAGATTAAAGAAAATAAAGAATGGGGTGTGGTGACTTAGTGAAGTGGTTAAGTTGTTATATTCCCAAATAGTAGGTTGTAAGTTCAAAACCTACTGACTGTGAAATTTAGATAATCACCTATGTAATATATAAATAGTATTATGATGACAGCATTCTGTTGATTAGTTGGGATAGGATACCTGTAACTATGGTTATACTAGCATGACTGGCAGATCTGAGGCATTTGTGTAACCTGTTACACAGAGGAATACAAACTGATACTAGGCAGTGCAAACCTAAAATAAATCCTTAGGCTGTATAAATCTGTAGAACTAAGAAGCTAGAGCCTACTTGAAATTCTGAGCAGAGAGGTAACATAGATTTTTGACAGTACTACTGTAAAGGCTAGACCCAGAAAATAGACACCAATGTAAAGAATTCAGTTGGACAAGAACTTCAGATGAAAGGTACCACCAACTAGGCCACTAGATTTCGAACCAAAGGAAAAGAATATTGAGCCAGCCTCAATATACCAAAAACAGGTTACAGTCTTTTCAAGCTATCTGGATTGGGAGTCTGGAATCAAAGTAGAGATATACTAAAAGTACTAGAGGTCTGGATGAACTCTGTAAGGTTAGCTCATGTTAGTGTTTTAAAAATGAATAAATAGTTAACAATGGAAGGCCTTCTGTGACTTACTGGCAGGTAATGTACTCTGAAATATATAATGGCCTAGGAACTAGTACAAAAAGAGTAGGTAACCATACTGCTCAAACAGTATATTGGTTAGGTATATATAAGAAATAAGTTGGGAATTCCAATATGACAGAATGGATGATCAGAGAGTTTAAATAAATAATCTTCTAGTAGGTTATAGGTAAAGCATCTAGTATAGAACCCTTAGGGTAAACTATTTAAATAGGCAACCAAAAGTTGCACATGTGACTAGCTGTACTCTCATCTCTGTAAAAATTATTGTAATAGCTAATCTGATATAAAGTCAATAAAGTATCACCACAAGTATGGTCTTTAACAAAAAGAAAAAAACAAAAAAAAAAAAAAAAAAAATTCAAACAATTTAAAGATATTGTAAAAAAAATGAATATAAATAGTATCATTGACAGAATGATATATCAAGAACTACAACAAACAATAGAAAAAAGCTTCAAAAGCATCAAAGCTATAATAATAATAGCAATAGAAGCAATAGCAGTAGAAAAGACAACTGCATTATTAGAAATTAAAGAATTCTTGGAAAAGTAAGAAATCCAAGTATTTCAATTCAAAGTTATATCAGAAAAATTATCAGAATTACTAAAACTGATGTATTCAGCAAAGCAAAACATATTTGCATTACAAATATTTATATTACAAGAATTCCAAAAGAATTTATTACAATTAAAAATATTGGAATTAAAAGAAAAATCGATGAAAAACAATAATACTCTTTGATAGAGCAGTACCAGATACAATAATATTTGAAATGAATAATATTCAAGATGAGTAACAAATGAGAATACTAAGAGAAATTAGAAAAGATCTTAGTAAAAACCTGATCAATCAATATGATCATGTATTATTCTTCAAACCAACAAAAAAAGAAATACTTAAATGATTTAATGAAAGAAAGTGAGAATCTGACAAACAAATATCAGAAGAATATCTAATCAATATATATGACAGATATAAAAAATGATTGAAATAATATATTCAAATTATATAGAAATCAATAACAATTATAAAGAATTGAATAACATGTTTAGAACAATATTCATTAAAAGATCAAGAATTGAAAATGAAAATCAATATACAATGAAACAGCATTAACAGAATTATCTATAATGCCATTAGAAATATCAATAAACCTGGAACAAGGATATGCTGTTGTAATACTATTTATAAAAAAGAATGATAAATATTATATATTAACATTATAAAAGATAAATACTATGATATACCAAAATCAATATCAAACATGTGAAGGCAAAAAAAAAGAATTTGAAGATTTTAGAACATGTATAATTGGAGAAGCACAAGAAGAAATCAATTTAAAATTAATAATAGAAAGGATACAATTAATCCTAAAACATATTTATTATTCATACAATAAGTCAAAGACAAAACTAACAACAAACAAAGATTATCAAGATGATAGAATTAATCAAACTAACTTGATACAAATACCAACATATCTATATTGGGTACAATATAATGAATTAAACCAAATCAAGAATAATAAACCTGAGAAACAATCAAACTTCGAATAGTGAGATTATAAACAATGTAAATACTTAGTGTTCATGCCAACATTAACTGATAACATAAAAAGAATATTTAAAGATTTTATTTCCAAATATGTTGAAGAATACTTCAAAAGAAAAAAGATAACACAAGATCCTTATAAATCAATCAAAAAAAAATTCAAAGAATTAGTAAAATTAATTATTGTCACTACTAAGAAGATAAAGAATATGTACAAACTTCTAAATAATAAAATTCTCTATAAAACTAAAACCAAAGAACACTGCTAATGGCCTGATCATACCTCAAAGTGTCTAATTACTTGGAAAATTTGCCAGTTGTATCACATGTGTGACAAATAAACATCAGTCATAAATTGG